ATATGTACAGATATAACATACACCAACACCATATAAATCAACCAGATAGTAAACAAGTTCATACTTTAACACCAAGATATAAACATATCCCACCACTCGGGGGTACACGATCCTACTGATCACTACATACATATACCTCAACTAATTGTCCACCAGTCATTATTACGGGAAACATGCATTATCACCAAGTACACAAGTTAGTTCCCACACTCATCATTCTTACAGTGCATCAAGGCCAAACTGTACCTATCATCTCAACTCAGATCCTCAGTCTATTCTAGTACCAATCTTGCACATTACCGTAACCAATAGGCTTCTAATTCCTATTCCCCAAATCATCACCTACACACTTTATCGATACCTCAAAAGCCATACAGAATTTTCCCTAAAAACTGTAAAACACCCTATATGCCCTATATGCCAAATCAACCCAAAACACCAATTCCTTAACGATTACTATATAATTAACAACAATCATCATCAATCATAACATAACAATATATATTATCATATATCGATCAATTTCCTACGGGGTTAAGGAATCCCTCAAAAGCCATACGGAATTTTCCCTAAAAACTGTAAAACACCCTATATGCCCTATATGCCAAATCACCCCAAAACACCAATTCATTAACGATTACTATATAATTAACAACAATCATCATCAATCATAACATAACAATATATATTATCATATATCGATCAATTTCCTACGGGGTTAAGGAATCCCTCAAAAGCCATACGGAATTTTCCCTAAAAACTGTAAAACACCTATATGCCCTATATGCCAAATCATCCCAAAACACCAATTCATTAACGATTACTATATAATTAACAACAATCATCATCAATCATAACATAACAATATATATTATCATATATCGATCAATTTCCTACGGGGTTAAGGAATCCCCAACTACCCTATACATGTATAAACCATTCCCAATCAAGTTTCTCCCCCCTTACCTTGTTAATCGGTTGATCGATGAAAGAATCCTCCAAAGTTTGGCCAATTCTGATTTTCCCTTGTTCCTTCGTTCTTCGCTCCCTTTTCCGTTCCCTTTTCCGTTCTCTCCTTTCTATCGTTCTTTTTCCACTTTCTCTAACTTCTCACAATGTATCGTAAAACTACTAATCTCTCCCGTTTCTATTTTAATTCTCTAATCCCAATAATAATAATAACTTAATAATAATAATAAAATAATAATAATAATAATAATAGTAGTAATAATCCTATTATTATCTCACCAAAATAATAATAATGTTAATAACTTAATAAAATAATAATAATAATAATAGTAATAATAATCCTATTATTATCTCACCAAAATAATAATAATGTTAATAACTTAATAAAATAATAATAATAATAATAATAATAGTAATAATAATCCTATTATTATCTCACCAAAATAATAATAATGTTAATAACTTAATAAAATAATAATAATAATAATAGTAATAATAATCCTATTATTATCACACCAAAATAATAATAATATTAATAACAATAGTAACTATAATAAATATAATAATAATAATAATATTCCCACCAATATTAATATTATACACTATATTATTATATTCATCAAAACACCACCAATAATCCTCTCACATTAGGGACACCCACCAATAATAATATTCATACTGATGATAATAATCATAATAATAATAATAATACCACCAATATTACTATTAACTATTATATTATTATCTCCACACCACCAATGATCCTTATATATCAAGGATGCTCACCAATCACATGCCAACACACCCCACCTAAGGGCACACCAACATAAAATAATTAAATTAACACCAAAATGACTAAATAAATAAAATGGGTGTTACAGATCACACCACCTTCCCCGATGGTAGTCACCACCGCCACATATAATAATGTAAAAACCCAATAGGTATGTGAAAATTGTCTAATATCTGCGAATGGTTGTGCCTTCATGATTGACTTGATTCGTCTGCCATTCAAAAGAATCAAAGTGGTGCTAAGAATGGCTTGAATCTATGACAATTCAGTGTATTGGTTGTAAATAAAATGTTGTTTTCATACTTGCCGAAGCAGGCACACCAGATTATGTGATTTTTAGACTTTTAGACAATATCATTAGCATGATCAATTGTATCTTTGAGGAAGATAGGGATTTTTTTCATTCTTACCAAGGATTTAGATGAGGGGAAAAGATACCTCTTTAATCCCAGTAGTATGTAAATTTTCAAATGTGTTCCTGGAGGATGTCACTTCTTCACCTCCCGAGAGAAAAGTGAAATTCTTCATAGACTTGGTCCCTGAATCAAGATCAATTTCCATTGTGCCATATAGAATGACTATAGTAGAATTATGAGAATTGAAGGCACAATTGAGAGATTTGTTGGAGAAACACTTCATTTGACCTAGTGTGCCTTAGTGAAAGCTTTGAACAAGGTAACCCTACTATGAAATCCATAGAAACGTTCTCCCATTTTCACTAAGGTATCTCCAATGGTTGCAAAATACCACCTGTCTCTGGTGTTCAATCTTTACTTCTTGACATATTGTGCATCTAACCACAACTTTTGTGATGTTCTTTTTTATTATGGGCCACTAGAAGTTCTTTATCAGGTATTGGCATATCTTATAAGAACCAAATTTAATTTTTAAAACATTATTGCGAGCCTCTTCTAGAATTACCTTATTCAATTTTGAATAATCAGATACATACATCATCTTGCTAAATAAAAGAACCATGTCCACTAATCCGGTGAAACCTGGATGTTCAATCTTAAATTGCAGGTCAACATCTTATATATAGGTTTGCCTTATTCTCTCCCTAAAATCACACATGATACTCATTTGGCTAAGTTGAACTCCTGCCTAAGTCCACATGAAATGAAGGTCGAGTCTCAAAATCTCTCTAGCAGGTTGCGTTCTGACATCTTCAATTTGGCTGCATGCATTTCTTTCCTACTAAATTCATCTGCCACCTTATTCGCCTTTTCAAGATGGTATTTCAACTTAAAATCATAATCCTTAAGAAATTTTATCCACCTTCTTTATGGAAGGAATGCGGAAAAAAAGAAAGAAAGAGTAACGACTGTTGAAAGGGAGAGAGAGGTGAGAACTCTATGGTTTTAAATGAACTTCAAATTTAACATATTTCATTCAATAATTATAACCCCAATTCATTTTTTTTTCTCTATAGAAAGCTAATTAGAAATATATATTGAATCTATTTTAGCCGATATACAAAAAAAAAAAGTTTAACTTAAGATATAAATTCAAATTGAACAAATATTTTGGATGAATTTAAAGATAATGTGTGATAGTGACATAATATATAAAAAAAATATTTCACACTATGAAGTATATATTCGTTTTCTTTTTTTTTTCTTTCGATATCTATAAAACTTAATGGTGCCACAGGAATTAATCGGACAAAATAGGGGTGTTTCCCTACGAAGCAAATTTGAAATCTAATAAAGGCAACCAAACCAGTGTCTTACATCGCTGGCGAAAGCCCAAACTCAACAGACCGTTATTCCGCCTTGATTGTCACTGTGTAAGGGCATAAAACTGCTTTCTACCCTTAAATATTCACTGCTTATAACCTTGCGATCAGGTACGTACGCCATTTAGTTTCTCTTAAGTTTCTACTTGTTGTGAATCAGATACCTTTAAACAAAGTATAAACAGTTTCTTAATGATCAAGAAACTCACAAGGGTTAGGTTAACAAAGAAAAACAAGGTAAAACAACAAGGAATAACAAAGATTAGTTATTAAACTGTTATTCTTTCCTTTCTCTTAGAACAAGATTACAAGTATACAAGAATAACAAAATAACCTCTCTCCCTTGAAATTAGGATTTTATCTTCCTATTCTTCCTTATATCAAGATTGAGAAACAAGCATCCTATTTATAATAAAATAACACACTAACCTAATGGAATTTTTAACAATTACCCATTACAAGCCAACTTAGGGTACAAGCTAACTTAAACAATTGGGCTTACAAGCAAGGCCCAATTCAACATGCTAACAACCCTAGCAATATTGACTAATGCATGTTAGAACAAACTTCGACTACAACACGCATTACTCGCGAACAGACTTCGACCATACTAGAGTTCGATCCAACATCTCACAAATCTCCACCTTGGATCTAACTCTATAACATCAAGAAACTAGTTTTCTTCATGCAGCTTTATTAACTGCATATAATGGAAAAACTTGCAACTGGGCAACGTCTTTTCTTTTTCCGTTAACGCAGCGTCCATGGCTGCCTCACCCTTCAACGCTTCCAAACAACCCTGCTGAACCAACAGTGCTTTCATCTTCAAGCGCCACAGACCGAATTCGTTCACTCCGGTGAACTTTTCAATCTCATACTTTGTTGAAGGCATCTTCTCCACGCTCACCGCACCAATTTGTTGTGAATCAGATACCTTTAAACAAAGTATAAACAGTTTCTTAATGATCAAGAAACTCACAAGGGTTAGGTTAACAAAGAAAAACAAGGTAAAACAACAAGGAATAACAAAGATTAGTTATTAAACTGTTATTCTTTCCTTTCTCTTAGAACAAGATTACAAGTATACAAGAATAACAAAATAACCTCTCTCCCTTGAAATTAGGATTTTATCTTCCTATTCTTCCTTATATCAAGATTGAGAAACAAGCATCCTATTTATAATAAAATAACACACTAACCTAATGGAATTTTTAACAATTACCCATTACAAGCCAACTTAGGGTACAAGCTAACTTAAACAATTGGGCTTACAAGCAAGGCCCAATTCAACATGCTAACAACCCTAGCAATATTGACTAATGCATGTTAGAACAAACTTCGACTACAACACGCATTACTCGCGAACAGACTTCGACCATACTAGAGTTCGATCCAACATCTCACACTACTCTTTTTGCCGCCATAGTCTCTTCTCGCATTGAACAATCACTTGTTTTGTCATCAGTAAAACAATCACTAGCATTAGCATAAAGGTTTGTTATGGATTTCGACGACATAGAAGCACCGATCAAAGCCACTTCTCGAGTCTCTAGATTCGCGCCAAAATCATCCAAGCTCAAACCTAAAACCGAACAAGTACTCGTTCCCAAATCCGAACCACCATCATTCCCCTCCACCAAACTAGAGCCACGAGAAATTGACTTCCCTGCTAAACCTAATGGCGTCCAAACTACTGTGCCGACCAATGGTACTGTCAACCTCGACGCCGAATCCAAGTCTGAAGCAAAATTGGATTCTATGGATGTAGATATGACCGAGGCGGAAGTTCAAGAGGATTCAACACATGCCAATCCAATGGAGGAAGACGAAGAAGAGGACACAGTTGTTCGCGAAATTGATGTATACTTCTCACCTTCTATCAATGGCGGCACTAAGGTTTGTTACTGCTTATGCATGTTGTATTATGGATTAAGAAGTTTTAAATCTTTAGTCTGATTTATATTTTGGTTGTTTTCTAGTTGTATGTTATGCAATTTCCTTTGAGACCTTCTTGGCGACCATATGAATTTGATGAACAATGTGAAGAGGTGAGTTTCTTAATTATTTATTTATTTTTTTGATAATCATGTTGACTAATTATTATGTTTTTGATTGTGTAGGTTAGATTGAAACCTGAAAGTTCAGAAGTAGAGGTCGATTTATCCGTTGATTTGGAGTCAAGTAATACTGACAGTGATTTTTCCAATGAACTCAAATACACAAAGCAGGTATTTTCACTATCTTGTACAATGTGATATAAAAGCTAAAGCACTAATTGCTGCTAAGATCAGCAAGATGGCGTTTGTGTTTACATATTGTATGTCTTAATAAGTAAATAACTGTGTTTGACAAAGAAGGCTCCATGATTCAATGGCATTGCAATCAGTGGTAAATAACTTTATTTCTTTTGTGTATTTTGATGAGAGTGATTGCACTATCTTGTTGACTACTTAATGAAATTATGCTCCTTGATAATATATATGCATCTTTGAAATAGGTTAAGGCTGGTTACTTTTGCTAGCTTTTGTAAGAATATGAGATGGGATATAGCACCAGAGAAAAAAGAAGACACCAACTTAAGTCTTGAATTATTAATTAGGATTATTTCATTTTTTTAAAATTCCACTATTTAGGATTTTCCGATTAGGATTTCTAGATCTCTTTTAACTTGATAAGATCTTGCATGACAAAATCACTTTATGTGAAAGTTTGCTCTATCTCTTTGATAAAAACTGGTATTGTGATTGTTTATTTAATACTATATTAGAGAACTAGTGCTGTACCAATCATTGATATTGAGGATATGATGAACATGTGAACAAAGGATGATAATAGAAACTCCAGAACATATGAATAAACCCTGCGGATGTAACTTCCAGTAAGGCAGTTATTGAATTGACAAATAATACAAACTGTTTACAACCAGCAATTGACAAATAAACCAAAGTCTAGGAATTAGAGAGCCTAGTTTCTCCCAAACCAACCAACATACAAAATGCCTAATCCCCTCCCTTTTCCCTTTCACACCCTATATTTATAATTCTGACTACCTAAAGCAGTTACAAAAACAATTATATAGCAGATACTGCACACACAACATTTAATAATAATAAAATAAACTGCCTATTACTAATAGTAACAATACTCCCTCCCTAAACTATCTCCTTGGCCTCAAGGCGGCGAAGATGAAGGATAACATAAGTGTCTAACAGGGTCCCATAACTTGAAGTAGAGACATAAAACATGATAACGTATGCCTCATACACTTTGTCGAGTGGTCTGTTTGACCCAAAAACATAGCGCGACAGCAGTAGGAATTAACAACACGAGTTTGATCAATCCAGAAGATAATCCACCCTTCACCAACGACCCGTCTTGATCTGGCGACTTCGGCGGTGGTGGCACTAGGATGTCAAACTTGAGTGAAGCCCTTCTTTCTTCCGAAGTTGTTCTAGACGGTCCTCTCCTCGATTCGCACACCATACTCATGCCATGTTCATCAAGTTTCTGATGATACCAAAAAATTTGCAAAAATCTACTTTTGTCACTTGTTGCTTTTCGGCAATGACATTCACGAGCACATTTTCAGCATCTTCTACTTTTGGAATTTCTACATTTTCCCCATTTCTTTCTTCCACTATCTGAATCAGCGCAAAATTTCCTAGGTCTATTTCTTCTTGTTGAAGTTTGAATGTGTGAGGCGTAGACGACCTCCAATTCCGATTCAGGTTCCTCTTCTTCATCAGATATAGGAAGGTCTCTGTACTCTGACTTAAAATGCCAAAGCAACCCAACGTGAAATGTTCGCCAACTTGCTTGTAGATGGCGTTGACTCCACCAATGCCACCATATGAGAGAATGGTTTCGCAAGGCTTTTACCACCTCTTGCAACTTCTCACTCTCTGGTGTTCCCGCAACATCAAAGTGTTTCTCAATACAAATCAACCACCAATAGGTATCCCTTATGCCGTCAAACTGCGGCATTTCCATTTGCCCCTACTGTGAATTTCTTGCCCCAGATAGAATTGCTCTGATACCAGTGATAGACTGGTATTGTGATTATTTATTTAGGGCAATATATTAGAGAACTAGTATTTTACCAATCATAGATATTGAGGATGTGATGAACATGTGAATAATGGATAAGAATAGAAACTCTAGAACATATGAACTAAGCTTGAGGATGTAACTTCCAGCAAGACAATTATTGAATTGACAAATAATACAAACTGTTTACAACCAGCAATTGACAAATAAACCAACCTCTAGGAATTAGAGTGCCTAGTCTCTCCCATACCAACCAACATTCAAAATGCCTAATCCCTTCCCTTTTCCCTTTCACCCTATATTTATAATTCTGACTACCTAAAGCAGTTACATAGCAGTTACTGCACACAAACATTTAATAAAAATAAAATAAACGGCCTATTATTAACATTCTTTTAGCTTGATAAGATCCCGCATAACGTAATCCTTTTCTATGAAAGTTTGATTAAGATATCTTCATTACCTGTAGCCTGAGTTTGATAATGGAACAAACAAGAAAGAAATCCATTTTTAGGGAAATCTGTGTTTGTCGAGGAGGACTCTGTTGTTATTGTTGTTGTGTATTCCATGTTTCTAATTTTTCATTGTATTTACTAAATATTCTCCTTCTCTTCGTTTATTGAATTGCTGAACAGACTTTTGATATATATGATTCAGAGTTGAATGCGAACAGTTGTGTGTTTTATCTATGGAATCGTCTCAGAAAAGTATTTTATTATATACTTTAACTTATGTATTTGCTAATATATTTTTAATTCTCTCCAGACTCTATCAACTACATGGAAGCCACCTCCTGCAAATGGCTGTGCTGTTGGGCTTCTTATGGGAGATAAGGTACTCATGTCTTATTCTATTCTGTAATGTCTAGTTTTGTTTCAAAGTGGTATATTTTCTGAACATTGTGTTAGGTATGCCATCATCATGTGGGTGACTGTTATACTATTTATTGAACATTTAATTCTAAAATAATTAAATTTGAAACAGATGAGTTTTGGGAAAATGCTTGTGAGGATTAGTTATATCTTTTTCAGGTTTTTAGTTGAAGAAGGAGCGGTTGATTAATATTTTCCTTAATGAAAAGCTCATTGAAATACTAATCCAGCTATACGTGTGTCTCTAGGTATGTTTCAGTGAGTTAAATGGGGAAAATGAGGAAGATTGAAAGACAATCATGCATTGAAATTAACTTCCTCTGGAGATGTAGATTTTTTAGGATTTTCAATTTGGGATTATTTTATTGTTATTCTGGTATTTAGTGATTTTAGTATTGTTTGAATTATCTTATTAAGGCTTAGATCAGGAATATGTATTACACTGTTCGCCTTATTGAGCCTGTAAATAGACGTTCAATGCTAATGTTCGGATGCATTTGAGTTTTTGATGTTTAATATACAGATACAATTATCAATGAAGATAGTATCTAGATTTGAATCAAAGGAGCTCTTTGAGCCTAAAGGAGCACTTTAGGCTTATGGGGAGAGGGAGCATTCTTGGATATTTGTTCTACAAGAAACAACTCCTCAAAACATAAAATAAAAAGTAGAAAGAAAACAATGAAAAGTCGCCTTAGAAAGAAAACAGGTTATATGTGTTAGATTCTCACACAAACAACCCAACCAGCCTGACTTACTTTCGCTTATCGACTTATTCATAATTACATGTAGCATTTAAAATACTTCGGAACTGAGACAATCGTATGTATCTTATCTGCAACTTCGTGATTCATTTATGTCTCGTGTCTACTTTTCTCTTCCGAAATTCTGAGAACTTGAGGGTTTCATGGGTTTTACCGCTGTGATACTCAAGTAGCTTGTTTAGAATGTTTCAGAGTTCAGACCCCCTGTAATTATCTTTAATTTTGTGGTTTTTGACTTCTTGTTTCTTCTGATAACATGAGAGATTTATGAAATTTATCACGGTGATACTTCCTTTGATGTTTAGTTTGGGAAAGTTTGTAAGTTTGACTGCCTCTGTCTTGGTTGCAGTTGCACCTACACCCAGTTCATGCAGTTGTGCAGCTCCGACCATCACGATATTATCTTGATTCTGGTGGCTCAGAAAAGAAGAATGCTGCTACGTCAAAGAAGCAGGTATTGTGTTTGTTAACTAGAAAAGACTGCACAAATATAAGCTTCAGGAATTGTAATTTTTGCAGGCTGGCTGGCATTGACATTTAGTTAATCTTGAACTTATCTATCAAGTTGTTGTTTTCTTCAAGCCTACTGAATGCTGTGATATTATGCCTTCAATTGATTTGCAGAGCCGACCCAACCTGGGGATAAGGCTTTTGTTGTTGTCTATCTACAATCTGTCAATACATATTGGGCATCCAATTAGCTAATTGATTTTGTTTCTTTGTTGCAGAATAAGCGAATGAATTCTTCAACTGAGCAAAAGAGTGATGATGATCAGGTATAACAGTTGTTAAAACATCAATGTAATTTACACCTAGCCGTTTTTGGTCATAATGGGGGTTATGCTATAGTTATAAATGATCGTGGGATTTAATATTATTTCTGAAGTGGATATGTTTACTAGTAGTCTTCCCTTTTCCTCCAAACTTCAAAATAATGCACCCTCCTGTAGATTTTCCAAAAGGCAGAACACAGATTATGTCTTATTAAAATAAGGCGAACTTCTCATAAATCATTTTTGTCATCATCCTAGACAAGATAGACTATGACATACGGATCCTAGATAAGATAGTGCTTCCTAAATATTCTTAGGAATGATATCTTATGATAAAGCAGAAAGAAGACATTGTGGGAATAATGCAACTGACAGTAACTAAAAAAGGTTGTAATCGAGATGATGATCAAGAGTGGAACATTTACCTTTATTGAGAGTAGTAGGTATAATATAACTGACGGTAACTAAAAAAGGTTGTAAACGAAATGATGATCAATAGTTGGTTGTTATTGTTGAGTGTAGTGGTAAGTCGACTGAAATGTTAGGTAGGACTACAACGACAAAAGGGATGGACACATGAGCTTAATTATGTGAATGAAGAATAGGAGCAAACTTTGGAGCTTCAAGATGACTTCTCTCTTAGTTAAATACCATATCAACTCCAAGGGCCGTCTTGCGAATGTGTAGTTTGTGGAGTAGAGGCAAATGATTTAAAGAGAAACGAAGTGCCTTATATAGAGTAGAGTATGATGTACTTGATTCCCCTCGGTTAGAATGTATCAATGTAAAGAATCCATGTAGAAAAATATCAATATGAAGAATATAAAAAAGACAGCATGACTGCTAACACTGCTAGGAAAAGAGACCAACTTGTAGTTGACACAACTCACATTCCAAGTGCTTAAAATGTGACAGGTGGGGGAACCATATTCTGTAACATATCCAAACTTGTTAGTCCCAAACAATGATGCTTACGGTGGATGGGGTAAGCTTAAGGTGGTAGAGAACTTTTGATTCAAATCCAACTCTAATGGTTTGTTTCATACTTTCAGTCTTGTATAAGAAAGGGATCAAAATTAGAGATTATGGAACTATTAATTCAAAAGACTCGTGTACTAATGAAAAGCCTCCTTCTCGCCCATTAATCTTGCAAAGCACCCTTATCATCACATCCCACGCCCAATGATTCTTCAACTTGCCTATTTTCTACACTTAATTTCTTCGATTAACCCATAAAACCTAACCCAACCATTAAATCATAAACTTATGTCCGATTTCCTTCCATTTATGGAGCACCACATTCAAGTATTCTTGATTACATCAATTGTATGGGAAATTAAATATACAAATTCCAATGTATCAGTGTAAATATTTCACTCTAGGAGTTTAAGCATTCCATAATCAAAATTATTGTTAGAAACCAGAAAATAGAAATAGAAAGTAATGCAGAGAAGAGATGAATAATGCAGACTGTTTATTGATGTAAACAAATGGAATGTTACATTTTGGTGCTTTCTTCCAAGAAATATTTGTCACCTCTAATGAAGGCTAATATTAATAAATACTTCCTATTGGATGATACTAATAATCATACGTTGAAGAAATGTTATTTTGAATGCTACAATTGAAAACTTTGGTGAAAATGCTTGCCATGTCACATTATTTATTAAATTATTTGCTTGTCTTCTCAAATGAATTATTAAATAGTTGTAAATGGTAATGAGTGGATGAGAAGGTCTTTTCTTAACAAAATCTGGGTTTATTCCATTATTCGCTTTGAATTTTTAATGGAGATTTTGTTTGCTTAGAATTTTACAGTCTGTTTATTTCTCATGCTTCCAGATTTTATATTTACTTCAAATTATAAACATAAGAGAATATTGATCCGTTATTTTTCTCGCTAGTTTCTATTACAGTTTTTGTAAAATAGATCTAGCATTTTCAAAAACTTCGAAAATGTCAATACTGTTCGGTTTCTGAAAATGTATTCTTCGTAGCATGTCTTCCATCTTCTCTCTATCACAATTGTTCACTACATTAGTCTTCCATCTCCTTTTAATCAATTTAAAGTGAATATAACTCTTAGAAAATGAAAATTGGAAATATTTTACAAAAGCAAATGGGAACTCTTTTGTTTTTACTTTTTATTTTCCCTCCTTTTTTAAATTAGTCTTTATCTCTATATCTCGTGCAGTGTTGGGTTCCTCTTAAGTACCATGGTTGCAAGAGTGATATCCCATCTAGTTATTTTCAGCAAATGGTGGCACTAGAAAGTTCTCCCATAAACTTTGAAATGAACACGTAAGATTATGTCCTTTTAGTATGTTGTACTCTCTTTTATATGAATATGTTAATTTATCATGCTTGTGAATGTTTGAATGGTTCAAGGTATGACTACATTGCTACACTTTGTCCTGGAGTCAGCAGCAACACTCTAGCTAAAGGTCCTTCTAAAAGGTAATATCTTTCTCACATTGATATAATATTATTTGTGCATTTGAGTTTTGTTGTTGTAACCAAACTTACTGTTTGACTTTTTAAATTGTTATCCTGATGTTTTTTGTTGTAAATTGAACAATTTAGCGCTTTCATTATATTATTTAAAAAAGTTATTTTGGGGGTACTCGTACCTTGATTTTTTAAAGTGACATGCCTTATACACGGTACTGTACCCGTTTTCATGCATCCTATCCTAGTTCTTATTAAAAATTTGCCATCTTTCTGGTGTACTTGCAAATGCGTCCATCTCTTTATTCTTTTTTGTTGTATTCTTCCTCTCCTTGACTTGGTCTTGTCACTAATTAATATATTGCTACATTGATTTTGTTCAGGTTTCTTCAATCATTGCCAATGTAATAGTTGGATTCTAATATATGGATTTTAATCCTGTACCAATTTAGTTAATTTCACTTTTTGCAGTTCAACATGAATGTATCAGTTTTAGTTTTGAATTGTATTAGTTCCATATGAATATAACAGTTAAAGATAATGTTAACGTGGTATGCATTGATAAATTTCATGTAAAAGTGTTTTTAATTTGGTCTGCCAAAGCATAACCAACAGTTAAAGATTATGTTAATTTGGTCTGTCAATGATATATTTTGTATGTTATGTTTTTATGTTTACTTGGTCTGTTATAGACTTGTCAAAGTTGGTCTGTTAATTTTGTCTGCATTTTTACACCACATTAGACATGATCGTAGTAATATAAAGTTCATGACATGTCCATTTCATAATACATAAAGTTCATGACAGGTTCTGCTTTTAGGTTCATTTCATAATACCTATAAGTTAGTTATGTTTTTAACATAAACTTCATGTCAGCAAGATACATAAACAACAACATCAGCATGATACATAAACTTGTAATACATTCCACAAAATAGACTTGTTCCACAACTAATACACATGTTCCATAACAACAGCAGAATACATAAACTTGTTCATGACAATTAGGTTATGCTTTTAACATAATTGATACACATGTTCCACAACAAAATCAGAATACATAAACATTGTAATACATTTCACAACTAGAGTTTTTAACATAATTGAATTCACATGTTCCACAACTAGAGTTTCTTCTTTGGCGTGGTCCTCTTTGTTGGAGCAGACCTCCTTGTTACTGGGCCAACAAAATTCTTGGCAGCACCCAACCTAGTTGTAGGCCCAGGTGGCACAAAAGGTCTTGTTGGCTTCCTTACAGGCAGCTTTTGTGTCTTGCCCTTAGCAGGTCCATGTGTCTTCTGAGTAGCAATTCCCTTAGAAGTCTGAGATGCTTGGCTAGATTGTTGAGTAGAAGTTCTCTTAGCAGTGTGTGTTGCTTTTTTCTGAGAGGGTTGATTTGGTTGTTGAGTAAGCTGAGTTGTTAAAGTAGGAGTGTGTTGGCTTGGTTGTTGAGCAGTCTGAGTTGGAGTATGAGAGGGTTGGGCTGATGCTGATTGTTGAGTAGTCTGACTTGTTGTGTCCTTACATGTAGACTTGTAATGTCCTGCTTTCTTACACCTACTACACTTCATAGAAAACCTATTTTTCTTAATTTGCGAGCATACCCATCAATTTCACCTTGTTCTAGGTTCCCCCTCTTTTTAGGTCTACCAGGCATCTCTTTGAACTTGGGTGGTTGCACATCTGGATATGGTGTCTTAACCCACAAGTTTGCTCCATTAACAGGGTAGATCACATGCTTATAAACTGCCTTGTACCTTGAAACCCTATAATAATCTGGAATGTAAGTATCAATTTTGAAATTCCTACTCTTCATAGCAAAATGAGCATGAACACATGGGAGTCATGTGAGTTCTCATCTTCTGCATGAACATATCTGATCTTTCAGGTTCACAACAAACTTGTTAGCTTGATTTTCTAGGTGCCTTACTTCAAATATATGTTCATCAAACATCCTAAATGATTAAACAAATAAAATACATTAGTCACTTATATGTCATAGACACCCTAAAGAATTAATGTATGCTGATATTACATACCTTACTAGCCAGTTGTTGGTGTATGTGCTTGTGATATCAAGTTTCTTTCTAATATTGGACAATATATCATTCCCATCCAAAGTACCAAATATCATTATGTTATTTGCCCATCTCTCCATCATGTATGTTTTGATGTCTTGTAACATAGTGATTAGAGGTTTTGCCCTTGCTTTAAGAATGACACTATTAAAGGACTCAAACATGTTGTTGAGAACAACATCACATTTGTTTTCAGTCTTAAAGTAAGATCTACTCCAAAACCTTGGCGGGGTCTTCATCATATGTTTAAGTGCTTCTTCATTGATGGCCCTCATTCCCTTCATCTCTCTTTCCTATGCCAGTGGGTATGTTGACTTGGCATCCTTCCATATTATGTCCTTCAACATCTTTCCAGGAAACTTTTTTCTAAAATTGTTATAAAGGTGCCTAACACAAAACCTGTGCTCCACCCTTGGCAATTGCTCATCCATAATAGGTAGCAGACCCTACAATAACATACAATGTAGCATTCAATATAGCATAACAGGAATATCATAACATAAACACATAAAACCATAAGAATAAATGAAAAACTTGCATTTTGTTGGTCTGAGATGAAGGTGTAAGTCATGCATTCATCTTTTTCTCCAAGGTCATCAATTAACAGCTCTAAAAACCAAGTTCAGCTATCCTTGTTTTCACTCTCCACAACTGCATATGCTATGAGAAACATCTGATCATTAGGATCCCTTCTAATGTCAGCTAGAATTTATCCTCCACGTAACCCCTTAAGAAAACACCCATCTAGACCTATTACATGCCTGCACAACTTAAAGCTTTTCTTACACGTAGCATAATATATGTAAAGCCTTCTAAAATATGGTCTTTCATCCTCAATACCTACTTGTACAGGCTCAACATTGAGCTTAACTGTTGACCCTGGATTGACTCTTAACAGTTCATGACAATAGTCATAAACCCTTGTGTTATCTCCCAAAAAGGAACCATCAACATAGTCTCTAACTGCAAATCTTGCTCTTATAGCTTTGGTTTTGTTGACCCCAACATTCCACTTTTTTTTGCCTTCTCCTTGATATCCTTTATACTCAACCTTGGATTGTTTTTCAAGCTATTTTGAATTCTTTTACTCAACCACTTTGTACTCATCAACTTCACATTATACTCTCAACTACAACTGTGCTTGTCAATTACTTTCCTGAGTTGCCAAGTGTCTTCATTTGACAACTTGCTACAATAAGCCTCCCACTCACAACCAACTTTACATCTAACCCTTACCCTAACTCTGTCATTTTTAAAAACCTTAGGTCTCTACCATTTTGCACAGCATAAGTTGTTATTGCTTCCCTAAAATCACCCTTTGAACTAAAGTACATTCCCACATCCCACTTGTAATCTGACATGTCTTTTGGCTGTCTGAAAATTGGATGTTTTTTTTCTTAGAACTCCACTGCTATCATCACTGTCACAACCACTTTGCATGTCCTCGCTGTCATTGTCACTCCCTTTACCATCATTTTCTAGGACTTCTCCATTACCATCATTTTCATGACCAACTAGGGTATCAAGTTCATCCTCCTCAATCTCATCATACCCATTAGACTCATCCTCAAAAGCAACATCTTATGCGCTATCATAATTGTAGTCCTCATCTTCACTATCATCAATGATAAACTTAAGTCATCATACACTGCAACTTTACCTTTTTCAACTCCAACATTACCTTTTCCCCCCTGCAGGATTCCCCTTTTCAAATCCAACATTACCTTCTTCCCCTGCAGGATTTCCTTGTTCAACTCCAACAGTATGTTCATCCACTGCAGGATTCCCTTGATCAACTCCAACATTATCTTCCTCCAACCCAGCAGTAGCTTCATCAACTCTAACATCACCTTCCTCCAACCCAATAGTGGTTTTATCAACTCTAACATCACATTCCTCCAACTGTCATACCCTAAATTTGTCCTACCCTTTTGTAAATATTTTCGCATTATCGTTTCTTGCCGTTTAGACATGTGTCCACCTGAAATCGGACGTTTTTCAAACTTTACCTTTTTAGACCAATTAAGGTGTGACACGTGGCCAATGGATTTTTTTTGTAAATATTGATTCCACTTTTTAATTTTTTTTTCTTCTTTTCAAGTATTAATATTTCATATATATTTTGTTGGTTATTAGAATTTAGATAGATTTTAATTTTATCTTTTATTTTATGTATGTTGTTTTTATTTTCTTTATTTTTAATAGTTAATACTTGTTTGTTTTTATCTATTTCTAGGAAACTTGTTTGCTAAGATTTGAAAAGTATTTTTGGTATTTGTTTCTTTAAAAAACTACCCTAGTATATCTACTTAGCATGAGAAAGAGAGGACGGAGACAAGTCGCAACATCCTCTCAGCTACTACCAAACTCTTTTTTTGAAACTTAACTTAATCACTCCCCACCGCCTGGATTTGTTGCTGCAATACTCCCATCATTTGTTCATTCAACGGATCATCAATAACCACTGTCTTTAATGTAAAGCTCTTGAACTTTGTTTCAATGTTACTCTTAACATACTCTCAACAACAACCTACTGTTATCTCATATAACAAAACCATGCCCATGTAGCACTTAAATACTCCTTCCATTCATTCATATTAAAGCTAGATCACAAACCATTAAATCTTTTACTTTTATCAATATTTACATTACTCCATATTTCATTCTATTATACTATCCCCTTTTTTAAATATATATTATACATTAGTTCTATTTAAATTTGTTATACGTATTATATATATATATATATATATATATATATATATATATATATATATATATATATATATATATATATATATATATATATATATATATATATATATATATATATATATATATATATATATATATATATATATATATATATATATATATATATATATATATATATATATATATATATATATATATATATATATATTATAATTTTTGTATATAGTTTTTCTTATACTATCCTTTTTTATATACATAGTTTTTTATATATTGTTTTTCTATATATAGTTTTATATAATTTTTTTTTTAGTTTATAATAATTTATATTAGAGTTATATTTTATATTTTTCTCTTAGAATACTTCTTTAGAATTTTCTTCCTAAATTTCTTTCAAAAGTTTATGAATATATTATAGTTTATATTACTTTACTTTTAGAGTTAATTTTATCTTCCCTTTTGTTATCGGACTCTTTATTTTATTTCATGTGCTTTGGTCGATGAAGAAGTTTCCACCGTTTAACCGTTAAAATATTGACGTGAAACAAAGGATCTGAGACCACCTTCTTTCTCCGATTTTATTTCAATTTTTGGATCGATGAAGTCTTTTATTCGTAA